GTAGTGCAATTATTTAGAAAAAATATCCTAAAAAATTAAAAGATCCTGGTAGTTATACCGTGTGCTATGCTATCGTTGAAAAATTTTATGAAAGAGCTTTATGTGATTTGGGAGCCAGCATTAATTGTATGCCTCTATCAATTTTCAAAAGATTAGGGTTAGAAAAAGTCTCGCCTACTTCTGTAACTCTTCAGTTAGCGGATCGTTCAGTTACATATCCTAAGGGAGTTATAGAAGATGTGTTAGTAAAAGTTGATAAATTTATCTTTTCTGTGGATTTCATTGTTTTTAGATATGGAGGAAGATAAAGAAATACCTATCATTTAGGGAGACCATTTTTAGCTACTGGAAAAGCTATGATAGATGTTCAGAAAGGAGAACTAACTATGAGAGTTAACGATCAAGAATTAACTTTTAACATTGCGAAATCTATGAAATACCCTGTTGTTGAAAGAGATGATGAATGTTTTCGCATGAAAATTAGTGAACATCTATTGAATCAGCATTTTAAAGAACATTTTGAAGAAAAAGAACAATTTGAAGATAGTGATGAAGTTATTTTGGATGAAATAGAAAATGAAGAATTAGATTATGTTCAAGAAAGATTTGAGATGTTGGATATTATAGAAAATGCTGATAAGGATCTAGTTCCATCAATTATAAAACCACCTGAACTTGAGTTGAAAATATTGTCTAGCCACTTGAAGTATGTGTTTCTGGGAGACTCATCTACATTGCCTGTTATTATATCTTCATAATTAAATGATTTGCAAGAGCAAAGACTGTTAGATATATTAAAAAGATATAAGATAGCTTTTAGTTGGACCTTAGCTGATATTAAGGGAATCAGTCCTTCGATCTGTATGCACAGAATTATACTAGATGAACAATTTAAACCAAGAGTTGATCCCCAAAGGAGATTAAACCCAACGATGAAAGAAGTAGTTAAGAAGGAAATTTTGAAATGGTTAGACACTGGAATTATATATCTTATTTCAGATAGTGCTTGGGTAAGTCCAATCCATTGTATTCCTAAGAAAGAAGGAGTGACTGTTGAAATAAAGGAAAATAATAAATTAATACCTATCAGACAAGTTACTGGGTGGCGTATTTGCATTGATTATAGAAAATTAAAGACTATAACTAGGAAAAATCACTTCCCTTTACCCTTTTTAGATAAAATAGTAGATAGACTTGCTGGGCACAAATATTTTTGTTTTTCACTTTATTTTTTAGATGGATATATCGGTTACCATCAAATTCCTATTGCTCCTGAGGATCAAGAAAAGAAAACATTTACTAGTCCTTTTAGAACTTTTTGCTTACCCAACCGAGTTGTACAAAATAAAAAATTGTTTAGGAGATAGTCATGCTCATGCATGGACTTTGGATGGCTTAAGTTTAGTTTTTGTTCACCTTCAGATCTGTGTATGAAAGATTGAAACGAAGAAAGCTTAGGAAATAAAATGAGGGAATGAGGTCAGAAGAAAGAGTAAGAAACTTTTTTTGTCTTCTTTATATTGTATTGTATTATCTTGATATAATGTAACGTAGTTTTGAAATATCAACACAATATTATAGAAAATCGAGATAAATCATTTTTAAGTATGTAATGTAATATCTTATATTAATTAAATATTCTTTATCATTTCTATGCTATTGTTTAAGAGACTTCTGACTTCACTGATAAAATTTGATGTAATTGAGTTGAAAAAGTGTCTTGTGGTGAGCCTCTTTTGTTAAATACAAATTCAATGAACAATATTCAGTTCCATATCTAATGAAAAAAAAAACGACTAATTATTATTCAACCAATATCTGCAGCAGTATATTGTAATACTTGATCTCATTACTATTATATTTTGCCCCATCGGAAAAAATATATATTTCTTATAAAAAATAGATAGTGTTATCCTGCGATACTCCGTTGTAAACCCAATGCAACCATAATTTTGCAAGAAAAAAAATATATTAAGAACGTTTATTGTAATTATCGCTAAAATTTGATGTGTCTTAATCTTAACGACAGAAATAATTTTGCCTCTAAAATCCAGTGATTTTTTAGATATTTTTAGCATGCAATGTATGATCAGTAAACTACTTTGGTTTCGCAAGAAAACTCTCAGTTTTTCTGATGAATATTTTTGGTAGATACAAATATATTGTTAAGAAATTTAGGGTAAACGAACAAGAATCGACACAAATTTAGAGAAAGACATAGATTTAATGAGGTGCGGCAAAGATGCCTACGTTGTCGGGAGCAGAGCGGCGACTTTCTTTTAATTTCATAAAAGAGTACAGAATACCCTATAGAGTTGTAATAGACATATATATATATATAAATATATATATATATATA